GGAGGGTCAGAGGGAGAAGCAGACCCCCCGCCGAGCAGGGAGCTCGATGCGGGACTCGATCCCGGGACTCCAGGATCATGACCTGAGCCGAAGGCAGTCGCCTAACCAACTGAGCCACCCAGGAGCCCTCCCAATAATTTTTTTACTTTTAATTCCCTTGCCTCAGGAGACTGTATCTACAAAAATGTTACTATGACCAATGTCAGGGAAATTACTGCCTGTGCTTTCTTCCAAGGATTTTTATGGTTTTAGGTCTCACATTTAGGTCTTTAATCCAATATGACTTTATTTTTGTTTTATTGTGAAAGAAAGTGGTCTAGTTTCATTCTTTTGCCTGTAGCTGACCAGTTTTCCCAACCACATTTGTTGAAGAGACATTTTCCCATTGTTGTATTTATTCCTTCTTTGTTGAAGATTACCATATAATTGTAGGTTTACGTCTGCATTTTCTATTCTATTCCACTGATCTATTTTTATGTCAGTATCATATTGTTTTAATTACTACCACTTTGTAATAGAACTCAAAATCTGGAATTGTGATACCTCCAGTTTTTTCTTTTTCAAGAATGCCTTGGCTATTTGGGGTCTTTTAGAATTCCATACAAATTTTAGAGGACTGTTCTAGTTTTGTGAAAAATGCTTTTATTTTGATAGGGATTGCATTAAATCTGTAGATGGCTTTAGATAGTACAGACATTTTAACAGTATTTGTTCTTCCAGTCCATAAACATGGGATGTCTTTCCACTTCTTTGGGTCATCTTGAATTTCTTTAATCAATATTTTATAATTTTCAGAGTACAGGTCTTTCACCTCTTTGGTTAAGTTTGTTACTAAATATTTTATTGTTTTGGGTGCAATTATTATAAATGGGATTTTCTTAATTTCACTTTTTGCTGCTTCATTATTAGTGTATAGGAATGCAACAGGTTTCTGTACATGGACTTTGTATCCTGTGACTTTACTGAATTCATTTATCAGTTCTAGTCGTTTTTTGGTGGTCTTTTGGGTGTCCTGTATATAGATAGTATCATGTCATCTGCAAATAGAGTTTTGCTTCTTCCTCACCAATTTGGATGCCTTTTATTTCTTTGTTGCCTAACTGCTGTGGCTAGGACTTCCAGTTGAATAATGTTGAATAAAAGTGGTGCGAGTAGACATCCTTGTCTTATTCCTGACCTTAGGGGAAAAGCTCTGTTTTTCACCTCTGAATATGACGTTAGCTCTGGATTTTTCATATAAGGTCTTTACTATGTTAAGGTATGTTCCCTCTAGACTTACTCTGTTGAGGGTTTATATCATGAATGGATGCTGTACTTTGTCATATGCTGTTTTCTGCATCTATTGAAATGATCATATGATTTTTATCCTTTCTCTTACTGATGTGATGTATCATGTTGTTGTTTTGTGAATACTGAACCCCTTGCATCCCAGGAATAAATCCCACTTGATCCTGGTGTATGATTTTTCAGTGTATTGTTGGGTTAGGTTTGCTAATATTTTGTTGAGGAATTTTTGCATCTATATTTATCAGAGATATTGGCTTGTAGTTCTCTTTCTGTGGTGTCTTTATCTGGTTTTGGTATCACAGTGATACTGGCCTCAAATAATGAATTTGGTAGTTTTCCTTCCTCTTCTATTTTCTGGAATAAAGTTTGAGAATAGGTATTAACTCTTCTTTAAATGTTTGGTAGAATTTGCCTGTGAAGCTGTCTCATCTTGGACTTTTGTTTTTTGGGAGTTTTTTTTGATTATAGGTTCAATTTCATGGAGGTTAATTCAAATACATGAAGGCTAAATAACATGCTTCTAAAGAAATGAATGGGTCAACCAAGAAATCACAGAATAAATAAAAAATTACATGGAAGCAAATGAACATGAAAACACAACAGTCCAAAATTTTGGGGATGCAGCAAAAGTGCTTCAAAGAGGGAAGTATATAGTAATGCAGGCCTACCTCAAGAGGCAAGAAAAATCTCAAATAAACCACCTAACCTTACACCTAAAGGAAATAGAAAAAGAACAAAAAAAACCCAAACCCAGCAAAAGGAAGGAAATAATAAAGATCAGAGCAGAAATAAAGGATATGGAAACTAAAAAAACAAGAGAACAGCTCAATGAAACCAGGAACTGGTTCTTTGGAAAGATGAATAAAATTATCATTCTCTAGTCACACTCATTTAAAAAAAAAAAAAAGGACCCAAATTAACAAAGGCACTAATGAGAGAGGAGAAATAACAACCAATACCACAGAAATACAACTGTAACAGATTATGAAAACCTATGATATGCCAACACATTTGACATCTTAGAAGAAAGATAAATTCCTAGAAACATGACATACCAAAACTGAAGCAGGAATAGAAAATTTGAACAGACCAATTACCAGCAGTGAAACTGCATAAGTAATCTAAATTTGTATTTCTGAGATCTATGTTCTGGGATCCTGACCTCTATACCAAATGCCTATTTAACAACTCTACCTGGATGATTCATAGGCAGTAGAAACTATCCAAATTCACAGACTTTCAGCATCAAATTCACAAAGTTCAAGCTAAGGAATGGTGCTGTGACCTAGCTTATTGGCTCATTAGCTGAACCCAGGTATCCTGCTCACCATATGATATACACAGCACAACACAGATCAGAGACCCCAATACAAGAGCAGACCAAAAGTCCCACGTAAGTCATCAAAAGGACCCTTTAATTTTAAATGTCGATAGTACCATAATTCATCAAAATAATTTATAATAGTTAACTGCCTCTTAAATATATAATCTTATAAATGAGGCCTTCTGAAGTTAAAAGTAATGTGGATTCAGTTTGTTTAAAATTATTTAGGACATAATAGAAGTAAAAAAAAATTGTTTCCTATGCAGTCCTTCTAAAAAAGGAAATCATGACAAGTTCCTGATCAGACAAATGCCATTCCATTATTAAAAGGATTAAAAAGCATAAATAAGTTTGAACAGAAATGTCAATTTCCTGGGTTTGTCCTTCTGTGCAAACCTGACCCTTTAGAGAGTTAAAATTGTATTCTAGTTTCTCACCATAAGCAAGAAATTCCTTAGCAGCTCAGAAATGATGTTAATGTCTTGGTAAAACAGATTCCCTCACTCTGATGATCACTCTGTGTTCCAGTCTCTAGGATATCTGCTGTCTCATCCTCTCAAAAATGGTTCTACTTAATCAGGAAATCAGGGGTTTTCTTGTACCAGCAACTTCTCAAGCCTCACACCTTACAGAGGAGGCAAACACTGATGAATTACCATGCCAGCCACAGCGTCCACTTTAACCTTCCAGATGCCACTGTTGTGAGGAAGAACCATCACAGATTGCCACTGCAACATAGCCTTTGTGACTCAGTGGATCGACCACTCTCAGGCACTGTCCAACTGACACCTGGTACAGCCGATTACTCTTCTGGAAAAAAGGTAGCAAGAAAAATACACCACCAGTTAATTGCTTTAATTTAAAAACCTTGCTGCCAGAATGTGGTAGAGAGGATACAGAAATCCAGAAGAGGTGTGGAGTATCTCAGATGCTTTACTTACCTAAGGGATACTACAAACTCAGAACTACTTTCTACAAGGTAAACGAGGAGTGCATCTGCCATGCTCCACCCTTAGCCCTGCCTGCCTCCTCACACACTCCCATCCTCACTAGCAAGCTCCTCACCCCGAAGGTCCACTGCTGGGATCCTCCTGACCCGTGGCACTTCATGAGTCGTGGTGGGTCTGACGAGCGAGTTTCTGACATATCCAGGCAAAGGAGGTTATTTAAAACCAACTCGTGTTCTTCATTATAAATCCAAATCTAAGGAAGAAAATCAAAGATCAAAACTCCAAGGTCCGCTTTAGATTTTGGAATTCAGACTGCACCCCAGGTCACGTATCTGTGGAAGACGAACGGGGTTATTCTAGGTGGCCTCAGAGCAGGGAAAGACCAACGAACCTGAGTCACACGCAGGCAGCATCAGCGCCGTTATCTGAAAATGGAAGGAACCGAACACAGGAAAATGAAGTGTGATCCCAGGAAGAAACCGAAATCAGTGGTGAACTTTTGTTCGCTGAATTTAACCTAACTGACTGAAGTAACTGAACACATGACTGTAGACATTTTCCAATTCTAGGACTTCACAATCGCACAGTGCTCTCCATCCCCGGGGCCCATCCCTGGATGGCACAGCCCCAGAGGTGCCCCGCGGGCCTGCGGACAGAAGCACACAGGCGCTCACTCTCAGAGGTTCCTCTTCTGCTGGGCAGGGCTATGGGGGGGCCACTATGTTACATCATCCTGGGGAAAGTTCTACTCTAATCCGAGATCACGACAGCATTTGGGCTGAGATGATGATTTCATCAGAGGGCCCAGAAGCAGGGTTTTCTTTAGATGTGCAGATCTTTGAGGATAGTCTTCTCTATGGTCTCTCAGATTATCTTCAGGTCAAAGGCCTAAAATTGGCTGAACTGGACAAGTGCGAGGAATAACTTATTTTCCAAACTGCACCCTCACTAAATCTACAAGGAATACACTTTTGTCTCCAAATTATTTTACTCATTGGTATTTCTACCCCCAGGCCCAAAATGTATGTGTGCTGTCTTCATTAACATGAAGAGTTCTATAAACAGAACTTTCTGCAACAATGCTGTTTTACAACCTATGTTGTCCAACATGGGACCAACATGTGGCTAGTATGATTGAGGAAAATAGTTAATTTCATTGTAATTAAATGTAAAGAGCTCCAGGTGGCTGGTGGTTACAGTATTAGTACAAATCTATGTGATCCCAACAAACAGGAGTATAATTCCATCTCCTCAAATTTCTTCCATTTTCTGGAACAAATCTCAGCTATCCCATCCCACTGTGACCGAAACCACCAAAGCATCGCTAGAGTGTCCACGACCCTGATACCTCTCAGACCCAGACACAGCACAAAACCCCTTTTAGATCCTATTTTCCGGTGTGGACAACATCTTCCATCCTTTGCAGGCTCCCCTAGAAATAAAAGGTCTTCTATGAAATTTCAGAGGACACACGTGATCTATCCTTTTTAATCTTGAGTGACACCATCCCCAGCACTCAAGTAGAAATGAAAATCACCTCCTTGTGTATGTGCTGCCGAAGCGAGCACAAAATCGCCTCCTCATGACGTGTGTTCAGCACCGCAGAGGCGTGAGGTTCTTCAACTAGGGGATTAGACTGCCATTATCAGATACAAGTCAGTCTGAAGTTATAGTTCCAAACTCACGTAAGTTTTTTGCTTATTTTTAGGTCTACTTTAACACCACTGAAAAGATTCTGTGAATGAAATGAACTGATATTTTGTTGTGGTTTCTTCTGATGGGACTACTAAAACTCACAGAAATGTGATTTCAGAGGAAACTCTACAGAAGATATTAATTCATCTCTCGCAGAGTTAATGTGCTTGCCCAGAAGGACGGGGAAGTTCCTCTGCCTCTTCTAACCTTCACAGAGCTTTCAGGCTTTCCATGTACTTCTAACAAATAGTGAGCAAAGGGAGGAAAAATATACAAAGGAGACAAAAATAGTTGTATTGCATGATCTCTAAAGTCATTCCCAACTTAAACCAGGTCATCTAAGGAAAGTCAGATTAAAATCTTCAGGGTCCCCTCCAGTCCCCTCCTCAGGGACCTCCAGCAAGTTCCCTTCACTGAAGGACACTTTCCAAGGACTGGCTGAGTCCAGAGACTTGACTCACCTGACTTGGGTCACTGTAGTCACATGCTTTAAGTACCACCAGGCCTCCTTTCTGACTTGGGCGGCCCTGGGCCACCAGACACTTGTTGGTCTGGAGGTGATAGAGCTGTAAAAGGAGAGATTGCTCTTGTCAGAAGACACCTTAGAATGCTAGATAATGTGAAAATATTACTCCAAAGCTATGAATTTCAAAGGTCATAAAAATAGAAGCATTTTTTAATTCCTAAATTCTAGCTTCAGTACATAAGGGTATCACAACAGACTTCAAGGTTATAGGCAACTTTAACAAAATATGCAAGCATTGTCAAGTAGAAATTCTACCTAAAGATATAGGTTTACTAATTCTACTATAAGGGAGAAAGGAAATTAAAGCATCTCTGCCCTAAAGAACCTTAAAATGAAATCGAGGAAATAATAAAAGGTACAAACCACACAGTACATAACCGAATGTAATGTACATGCTGAACTGAGATAAACACAGATCAAGAACTGCAGAGGTGAGACACAGAAAAGCAACAGAGCGTATCTAGTTTGGGTAAAGGATTACTGTGAGTGCTGAAGGAGCTTAGATGTACGAGGCAAGAATGGAAAGAATTTCCACTATATGGACAAACCCTGATACGCATTTTTCCTTAAAAAGAGAACACCTTGACTTTGTTTTTAATTTCGTAAGAGGAAGGAGAAAGCTCTAGTGAGCAATCACGGAAGGACAGATGGCGTCATGAACGATACTAAGGAGCAACTTCTTAACACAAAAGAAAACTGGGCAACAATCAGAGTATCTACACTTTCAGAAAGCAAATTCTAAGAAGCAATTCAGGAAAAAGGTATGATTTTATGACTAGACTCCTGAAATTTAAACATGATACAGAACTGTGAAGAAACTCCTTCAGAAACAAAAGGGAGCATCTACAGAAACATGAGCGCTCAGCCCAGCGGCTGGAGCCAGAAGGCCATGCCGCCATCTTTCACCTGCTGTCTGGAGCCGGTTCCAGAGCTTCGGCCCAATAGCAGAGAGCAGCCCCATTTCTCCTTTTGTTTTCCTTTTGGGACTGGTCTCTGCCATACGAGTTTTATACTCACTCACAGTGCCTTTAATGGTCTGCTCACATTTATATCCATCCTTTTGGAAGCTAGCACAATCTTATAGAAGTCATGCGCTCTTTACCGCCGCAGGTGAAGGATGTTAATATTAACAGTGAAGATATTAACATTTCTAAGGTCCTGAGTGAAGGAAGGTCCCACCAAAAGAATACAATGGAAGCAAGCCAAAGTCTATCACTAAAAGGATACTTGAAGTCTAAACTGTCATTTACTATACCATACAACTTTTAATCAAACACTCTGATGATATTACTTCCTTACCCTTCCACGCTGAAGGACTTTGGGGCGTTTTGGCCCTCTATTGATAAAAATGGGTTGCTGGGGTTTGGCGTTGGGCCCAGATATCTGCATCTCTGGGTAAATATTATCCAGATACCACTTAAATGATTTACAACCCAACTTCTTCCTCAATTCAACACGCTCACTGATATTTCCATAGCTTTTGGTCCTCAGATCAGGTCTTAAGGAAAAATACTGCTCCTGAATTTTAAAAAGAAAAGTGAAAAATAATAGCTTTTTTGTTTAAAATGGGTATTACCAATTATACCTGACATTTAAAGAACTGAAAAAAAAAAGGATTATCAGCAAAAATATTTTTCATGACCGTGTTTTCTTGATTTTGCCAAAAAATGTCAACATAAAATTTTCACACAGTTAGGTCCATCACTGACAGTAAGACATCTTAAATTCTAAGATACATCCCAATTTCGGAAATGGCAAACATGTAAAACATGATCTCAGACTCGAGGCAGGTGACGCTGAGGCTGGTGGTTCTCGGACTCCGTCAGGACTCTGGAATCTTAAAAGACGAAGACTCCAAGGAGCTTCTGTTTGTGTGAGTTGCATCTACTGGTATTTACCATATGAAAAGTTAAAACATTTGTTAATTCGTTAAAAATAACTCATTACCTATCAACATAAACGCACTCTGAACAACAGAAAATGTAATGAGAACAGTGACACTGCTTCACAGTTTTACAGCTTTACACGAGCAGAGTCTGGCTAAAAAGAAGTCAGCTGAATTCTCATTTCTGCATTCAACCTGTTACTGTCATGTTGTTTGGTTAAATATATTTTTAAAAATATGAGTGTATGAAAATACATAGTTTAAAATGGAATTTTTTTTGGAAGGAATATTTTAATAGCAGTTTCAGAGAATTACGGCTATTCTTGACATATTTCTTTAATATTTTATTATTTATTTGACAGAGAGAGCACGAGCAGGGGGAGCGGCAGGCAGAGGGAGATGCAGACTCCACGCTGAGCAGGGAGCCCAATGCGGGGCTGGATCCCAGGACCCTGGAATCAAGACCTGATCTCGTTTAACCAACTGAGCCACCCAAGCGCCCCTCTTTTTTTGGTATTTTACCAAAACTCTAACTTTTCATATTCCACATTGTAACTAACCTTTAAATCATATCATTGAGGTTTTTGTACCATTGCATTAAAATTTACTGCTCTATCCTGCTCTTTGAATGGATTTTTTTACCCATCCAAGATTTGTATACCATCATCCATTAGTCATTTGGAAAACACTGCTCCCTGGGTTGTGAAGTTCCAAATACTGGCAAATGTCATTATATAATATAAAATGTTTTATTCATAAATATTCCTAATCTCATCAAATAAGCATTTAAGTACTGGAAGCCATCAAGCTCACAGGGATGGATACAAGTTTTCCACTTACAACAAATGCTATCACAGTTGAAGTGAGAGGCTAAGTTATTAGTTCATTTTTGAGAATGTCTGCCAAATATCCAAATATAAATAACCATGGTTTGTGAGCCATTCTTTTACATAAAAAGTGTTCCATGGAGAAAAGTGACTAGTTCAGCTCACAACTCAAACAACTGCACACATCTTCTCCTGAAACGAGCACTGTATTTCGGTCTACAGCAAAAGGTGCTTTCTGGGACGCCTGGGTGGCTCAGTCGTGAAGCGTCTGCCTTCGGCTCAGGTCATGATCCCAGGGTCCTGGGATCGAGTCCCACATCGGGCTCCCTGCTCAGTGGGGAGCCCGCTTCTCCCTCTCCCTCTGCTGCTCCCCCCGCTTGTGCTCTCTCTCTGACAAATAAATGAATGAAAATCTTTAAAAAAAAAAAAAGGTGCTTTCTGCGCACTTAGCGTGCTCACGGCACTTGGAGCACATCGAGATTTAACACAATTACTACTACTACTCAGATGCTTTTGCAGCATCAGTGCAAAGTCAACATGGTGAAAATGGCAAATACTGTATTATCCGGCTATGAAAACAGCTTTGCCCTGGCAAACCTCCTGAAACGGTGGCCAGGATTTAGATGGGCCTGTGAACCACTTTCTGAGAGCTGCTGGGAGATAGTGTGACTCAAAGCTGAGGAACACGGAGAACGAACTCGGAGTCTAGAAGAGGGAGAAGGGAGGAGACCTGCAGTGTGCCAGGAGCATGACCAAAACCAAGCAGTGATGTTCTCCCCACAGTACATGGCACACACCTCCACGCCCAGTATTGCACAATGTGAAGTTACTGCATTCCCTCAGTCATCTCTGACTCTCCCAAAACCCAACACAGAGCCTGGTATATAGTAGATGTTCAAACGCTTGTTTAAAAAAATTAATTGTGCACAAATGTTCACAGCAGCATTTCTCATAACTCATGAATGGATACAGTGTATATTCACGCAATGGAATATTATTTGGCAATAAAAAAGAATGAAGTAACGCTACATGGTACAATATGGATGAACCTGAAAACATCATGCTTACTAAGATGGTCACAAAAGACCACGTGTTGTAGGATTCCGTTCGTAGGAAATGTTCAGAATAGGCAAATCTAGAGAGTCAGGAGGCAGATTGGTAGTTGTCTAGGGCTGTAGGAGATTAGGGAGTGATGGTTGAAAGGATATGGAGTTTCTTTTTGGGGTGATAAAATGACTTGTGAATTATACCTCAAAAAAGATGTTAAAAGGAAATATCACAGCAGAAGAGAAAGTGGGAAGGAACACTATATGTGCAGATTGAACAGGGGAAGTGGTGAGACTGCGACACAGCGAAGCCCAAGGAGCAAAGAAAAGGAGCCACGTTCTGTGGGAGTCAGAGGAACAAAGACACTGGAAAGAGAATTTCTTCTGATGTTAAGCTGTATTTCCTTTTATAGAGTGGTCACTTGGAAAATTAAAAGGGTCACAACAAAAAAAAGAGAGGAAAAAGAAATGTAGAAAGGGATGGCCGTCCCACAGAAACATGCCAGAGTGAAAAGACAGGTAAGCAGAGCCGTCTGCAAAGAAGCAACAGCCTAGCGGCCCCTTCCAACACAGTAACTGAATCTCACCTTATATTCATCCAACCAAACATGTGCCAGCCTCAGGGAGTTGTGGGTCATGGTGTCCTGGCCTTCAGGAGAACCATACGGTCGCCTTTTTCGGAAAATGTGTCCGACTCTAGAGCAAGGGATGATGAAGAGTTTACCTCCACACATCCAAATCTGGTCAGGAGCAAAATATGTATTAATAGTTGCCTCGCATTGCAATGAAATCAATGTATGTGTTTTCTTGAAATTAATCTTTATTAAATAGGTGCTTATGAGACTTTGCAAGATGTTTTATGTAACTATCAAATACAAGAAAGTCAAAGGGTACATTAAAAAAAATACGTCTTTATGATTAAAAAGAAACTAAATTCTAAAAAAGTGTAATATTCTTTTACTACTCTGTGTCTAAAATCGCACTTACCATGTACTTTGCTGTTTTAACAGATCAAGGAACTTGATCCTCAGGACTTAAGGACAAAGAATGCTTACTGGCTGGTACTCTAATCTCAGTTTCCTGGTACTTTCTTATAACATGTATATATACAGGAATAATGAAATATACTGAATAATTCTATTACGATTCAAAAGATCTTAGTTCTCGTCTAAATTCTGCTTTGCCCTGGGCCATCTGGATTACTTTATATGGTTATTTTAGTTTTTGTGGGACACCATTACCTTATGTCCAAAATAAGACTGAACTAACGATATCTATTATTTCTTTCAACTTTAAAATTCTAAAGACTATGTAGGAAAAACTACCTTTTAAAAACACTGTGGTCAATACACTGCGAAAATACAAAATGACACATGCACAACATACTGTGATATTGTGGGGGTTCTGCTGCGCAGCCCAGGAGCTGGGAAGTGGAGGTGAGGACATCTGCTAGTACGCAGAGGTCCGCCTTCTTTCCCGGGCCCTCACTCTGCCCTTGGCAAAGACTGTCCTCCAACCCCCAGTTCCTGGAATTCCAGACCCCACCTATACCACCATCTTCCCAATGTTTGCAGCTGGAGAAGAGACCCAATTACGAAAGATTAATTCCTTCCTCGGGCTGGACGGACTTGTATATGTAAAGGATTCTGCTAGCTACTTCTGAAAGTGGGATAGGGAACTATTAATAATTTTCCTGGGAGAAGAGGTGTGAACCAGGATGGTCTTGAGCAATCAGGGAAATCCAATCACCCTAAATATATGTGTCTAGGGTTAACAAAGAAGATTAATAAACTGACAAAGAACAAAATTAGATTAAATGCACGTTTAGGGGCGCCTGGGTGGCTCAGTCGTTAGGGTCTGCCTTCGGCTCGGGTCATGATCCCAGGGTCCTGGGATCAAGCCCCGCGTCGGGCTCCCTGCTCCACCGGAAGCCCGCTTCTCCCTCTCCCACTCCCCCTGCTTGTGTTCCCTCTCTCGCTGTGTCTCTTTCTGTCAAATAAATAAAATCTTTAAAAAAAAATAAATGCACGTTTAGACAGCTGAAATTATACCCAACCATTCACTACATCCTTTTTAAATTCTTATAAAATAAAGCTGCTTAAATACTTTCCACACTTTGAATGGATATTATCCACATCACGGATTATGATAAAGTAGCATTCATTAAGGACAGTTTGTTAACAAAGATAATCAAAGAGAATTGACAGAAAATATGAGATTGTAGATGAAAATTATATTCTACTACACAGAGTTAAAGATGAAAAAATTACCCGAAATGATATTTCTAAATTTTCTCCTCCCCATATATCCATGCCACTGTCGTACTGTCCAAGTTCATTGAAATAGCGTCTGTTCATGGCAAACAATCCTCCAGCCATTGTAGGTGACCTAGAAAAGGAAATAATTACTGTACCAATTCTACACAGCCAATTATCTATCATCTTTGTTTTAAAAAAAATTCAGTGCACCTTTGTAACATCACTAATGAAAACCAGATTAACCATTATGAAACATTTTATCTAACATCAGGGAATGAGCTGGGCCACGTAACTGAATTTCCTAGATCGCCAATGATATACTAGATATCTGGCAAATGAAGGCTACTTTTCTAAGCATCAAAAGTACTTTTTAAATTATAACACTGTTCTTAGAAAGAGGTATGAATTAATTCCTTTTGACAGTCTCACAGAACAGTGGGATAAAAACTGGACTCCAGAGCCTACCAAGGGGAGACCAGACAAACTTTGACTTAGACCAGTGGCTCTCAAACAGGATGATTCTGTCCCCAAGCAAACATTTCATTAATGTCCGGAAACATTTTTAGTTGTCACAATGGGGGCGGAGGGAGTGCTACGGCAACTGATGGGCTGCAGCCGAGCACGCTACTGCATATTCTAAAATGCACAACAGAGCGCCCACAACAGAGAAGGATCTGGCCCAAAACGTCAATACTGCTAAGACTGAGACTGTTAATGAGAGAATCTGAAGGAGCCTGGCCCTCAAGGAGACACAAGCTCAGCTTCCAGCTGTCTCACTTCCTGAAACTGAGTTAAGGTGATGGTGGATTTCAGCGTCCCAAGCTCCCTGCTAGAAGTGAAGCAAAACTTCTCTGCAGGCAGAAAACACCATCTCAGGTATGAATGTATTTCCATAATTTTTCATGACAGTGTTCGCCACCAAGCAAAAGTAAATAAGCAACTAAACAAATAAATAACCAGGCAATCAGGAAGATAAAGCACATGAAAGAAAAACAAGAGAAACAATCTACAAGAGAAACAGATGTGCAGGGGTTTCAAATAATGTAGTTATCAGGCAGAGACTTTAAAATAACTGCTCAATATATGCAAGGATAAAAGACAAGATGCAAAATTTGGCAGATAGATAGATATGATCAAAAAAGAAACCAAATTTATGCATATCTGAAAAACCCTTCTGACAAAGAGAAGAAATTCAAGCAGCCAATGAGAGGCTGCCTTCAAAAATAAGAGTGTTGCTGGCTTCTCACCACAAACAGTGGAAGCCAGTGGTTCTTGAATGATTACCTTCAAAGTCCCAAGAATCTACCCATCAACGTAGAAATGGGTATGAAGTAAAATTATACTTCAAAGTAATCGTGAAAGGAAGACATTTTTACAAAAAGCCAGAGAGAAGTAATCACCAGAAGGTCCAGCCAAAGGAAATACATTTAAAATGTCTTCTTTAGTCAGAATGAAAATAATCCCATATGGAAGTTTGCAGATGCAGAGAGAATAAAGAGTAAAATAAAAGGGGAAGTATGTGGGTAAACCTAGATGAATAATGGCCACATAAAAAATGTCTTGTAGGGTTAAAACACACACACACACTTCAACAATATAAACTGAGGGGAGATAAACTGGAGAATGAACATTCTCAGAACCCTGCATTGTTTGAAGTACCAAATTATGTTGCAAGAATGTACGCCGTATTCTCTATGGTAATCACTACAAGAATAGTATTAAGAACATATAACATCTAATAATGGGGTGGCAGTTGGGAACAGAATAATAAAAAATCCAAACTCAAGATCAAAAGAAAGCAAGAGAGGAAGGGGAAGAAAAGAACACAGTGCCACTGTAATCATAAGCACAAAATACAAGTAATATTCAATGTAATCAACTGGAGTAAAAGGAAGTTTTTCACACTGGTTTAGCAACAAATCATAATACAAAAGCAACTACATGCTCCTTGCAAGGGACACATCGAAACAGAAGACCACAGAGACTGACAACAAAAGGAAAGTTACACGATGCAAATATTACAACAAAGCTAGAATAGCCATATTAATGTCACTATAATGCAAAAGTTTTACTATTCTGAAAGTCTAGAATAAATGGTTTCATTCACAAGATCTAATAATTTAATAACTCCAAATTTTCAGACGTCTATGGAGACAGAAGACCGCCTCAAAACATATGAAGAAAACAGATAAAGAACTACAAGGAGAAACAAATACACAATTGCAGTGAGAAACTTTAATATACCATATTTAATAACTGATACAAGTGTAACTACACTTACCACGGTGCACACTGTGTAATGCACAGAACCACTGAACTGCTATGTCATGCACCTGAAACTAATATAACACTACATGTCAACTATGCTTCCATAGTTTTTTAAAGAATTAATAAAAGTATAGAATATCTGAATAATATAATAAACTTGACTGAATTGATATAGAATCCCATTTTTTAACAACCACAGAAAATACAAATTTTCCAGGCACACAAGGAACATTTACAAAAATTACTCATGTGCTTGGCCACAAAGCAAATCTTACCAATTTTCAAAGAATTAAAACCATACAGAATATTTTTTGATCACAGTGAAAAGCTAGGAATACATAATTATAAAATCCTCATATACCTGGGGAATAATAAATGTACTGCTAAATAACCTATGGGTCAGAAAAACCATCACAATGAAACTATTTTAAAATAAATGACAAAAGGGCGCCTGGGTGGCTCAGTTGGTTAAGCGACTGCGTTCGGCTCAGGTCATGATCCTGGAGTCCCTGGATCGAGTCCCGCATCGGGCTCCCTGCTTGGCGGGGAGTCTGCTTCTCCCTCGGACCCTCCCCCCTCTCATGCTCCTCTCTCTCTTTCTCTCTCAAATAAATAAAATCTTTTAAAATTTAAAAAAAAAATCACAAAAAATAGTAATTTGTGGGATACAGCTAAAGCCATGGTTAGAAGAAAGTTTATCACCTTCAATAACTGTATTAGGAAAGGAAAAATGATGAACAATTTAAAAATCTAAAATCCACCTTAAGAAGTTAGCAACCCTGAAATCCCAAAAGTGAGAGAACTCACAGAAGAACTGGGAGAAAAGTGGGGGAAAGCGGCAGGAGGAGGAAGGGGCACTAATGTGCTCGCCATGCGAGGAGGAGGGTCAGATGGTGCTGTCCCAGCCCTCGAGTGCCGCTTTCTCCCGCTACCAACAGAAACGTGCACACTACATCACCAGGCCAGAGAGGAGAAGACAGTGACACAGAGGAACAAAATCTTCACTTTGCCCACAGAAAGGACCTAAAGTCAGTTTGACATTGAAAAGAGGAATAGGTTATTCATCTAGAGTGAAAAAAGCAATAAATGGAAGACCCAAAATAAAAATAGTGATAAGAATTAGCCTCTGGGGAGAAGGACTGAGAACAGGGAGCAAGGAGGGAGCCAGCCACTCCTCATCCAAAGTTCTTCTATACTATTTTGTTACTGAATACATGTTTGTGATTAAAAGTATTAAAAATTAAACGATGACAACCAACGCCCACGAAGATGGTGAAACAGGCAAGAACTGGCAGGAGCACGAACGCAGAGAGCGAGCAGCAGCCGGGGCACCATCTTCCTGCGTGGTGCGTCTTTACCTCGTCACAGAGAGCACCACGGACAGCTGGGAGGACAAAATGGAGTCACCGCTGCCTGCCTCCAATCACAGGACGAGCGGCTGTAGAGACCAGAAACACAGACGGACAGTCCCCAGATGCAGCCCTGCTTTCCCGAGTGTCAGGTTCTGACACAACTTAGCAGGAGCTGCAGCAGATTCTCGCACAAAGCACGAGAGAGCAGAAGATGGCCCCGCTCGGCCAGCAGACCACATCAGGCCCCAGGAACTGGCCGAGGTCTCCCTCCAAGTCTGGGTCAGATGAAAGGAAGCTGGCAAGTCCCCACAGGCCAACTGCAGAGCCACCTGAAGTGCTGGGAAAACATCATCTCCTAAAGGTAAAAAGAGGCATGCCCCACAACCAGGCAGTTTTCTTCTTAAACTAGGAGGCGGGAATAACGGTGCTGGTCACAGCACCATCTGTGATATTAAAGAAAGACAAGAGAAAACCGCCCAACCTGCCCTCCAACAGTAAACTGGGTAAGTTTGGACAGAACATATCATAGAACATGATCCTCTTTCACTGCTGTATAAAGTAGAGCCATACACTGTAATACAGATGAATTTTTTAAAGCAATGTTGAGTAAAAGCAGCAAGACAAAATGAGTCCAACGGCTTCATTTTATACCAAGTCCAAGAACAGACAAAACTGAACTATATTGTTTAGAGACGCACGCAGAGATGGTAAAACTCCAGGAAGGCGAGGAAATGATCACCAGGTCAGGGTAATGACAGCTCTAGGGCCAGGGGCTGTGACCAGGAACAGGGGTACAGAGGGCATCTGGGTGCTGTGTCCTGACCTGGGTGGTAACTGCACAGATGTTATTATAACCATTTATTAAATTGTGTGCATAATACATACATACCTATGTGTACTTTTTATATATGCTATTTTGTCACAAGTGGAAAAAAAAACAAAACTGTAGGTCCAAGAATGTTAAAAAGTAGAAACAGACAAACCTCTCTGAAATCCACATGAGAAATTTAAAACAAAAAATAATAAATAATATATAAGCAGATTTGTAACACTGAGAATATGAATGAGAACTGAAAATAATTTCTACACTGTGACTTTTAACTGTACTAGCAGGAATCCATCCTAAAAATCCTAATTATAGAGAATGCTTATATAGCAAATGTTCTTCACAACACCACTCATACTAGCAAAGAACTGAAGGTAAGTAGATGACAAAGGCAATAAACCATGATAATCAGCATAAAAAACACCGTTATCCTATGCAACCATTATCCCAAGATACTGCTCTTATTTGTCTGCCCTTCTAAGTGATACATCCTTGAGGACACGAATAATTCCGAATTCACAAATCTTTCCTCAGGAGTTGGCGCAGCATATAAAATTCAGTGAGCACTCAAGAATTTCTAGCGGACAAATTAAGCCAACACTTCTGCTCCCTGCGAAGAAGGGATTCTCTTTTGAAGAAGTACTGACAGGAACTTTTCAAATCTAGAGGAGAAACCTCACTTTATTGGTGCAGTAGCTCCTGCTGGTCCTCCGAGCTCAGAAAGGGGAACAAGATCCCACTTGAAGTGTAGACCCCAGTTGAAACCTCCCCGCACGACAGGGGACGAGCTGTAGGCGAGCGTGTCTGCGCTGATGATATCGATGACAGGGCACACCACGGTCCGCTGGTCCTGCTGGATGGCAGCCAGCAAGGGCTGCAGCCACATCACGTTTACTTCACAGTGGCTGTCCAGGAACACCAGGACTTCTCCTGAGGAGGCAAACAGAGGACCAGCCCTCCATTGAGGTATGGCCGCCAGTTCGGTCAGACGACGCGTTCACATGGTATGAAATATAATCGCCACCCCTCCAGCCCAACAATTATTCCACTACTCTACTGCCAATCAGGAAGAGAGGAGGACTTTTAGCCAGGAATTCTGCTTCGACTGTACTGCTATGACTGAGAAACATGTACACGTAAATTCCGATTCTCCTCAGTGAAAAGATTCAAAGTCTCACAGGAACAATTCTGTTCGTTGGACAGAAAGGTATGGGGTGCGGTGCAGGGACAGTGGCCACTGTGTGTAGTTATTATTACACTTACCGCAATCGAAATATTTCTAAATTTGGGGGCACCTGGGTAGCGCAGTCGGTTAAGCGTCCAACTCTTGGTTTCGCCTCAGGTCATGATCTTGGGGTTGGGAATCGAGCCTCGAGTTGGGCTCTGCGCTCAGCAGCAGGGAGTCTGCTTGAGATTCTCTCTCTCCCTCTCCCTCTGCCCCTCCCCCTTCTCTAAAAAAAAATTCTAAATTTAGGATACATTTCCCTGCCTTAGTGAACAGAGGCTAGAGAACATAACTGTTTTCACTGGTGACTCAGAAACATGACCACATTATCGACCATCGCCGCAACACAGCAGTTCTCTCAGGAGTGCGAGAACCATGTACCCCTTCCGCCATGCCAGGGACATGGGCTCCCCTGTCCTCTGAAGTCACCACTCAATGGCCACATGCTCATTTCTTCTTCCATTTGCCGCCTTTCCTTCCTTTCCCCAACCTGGTTGGCTGTAGCGGCTCTCGTGAGCCAATGGGATAGCTTTTCTTCTAGCTAGTAAAATAAAAATCATAATGATTTTATCCAACATTTTTAACTCCTTTTGATAAACGTGAGCAGAAGTGCGGGTTTCTTTGATAATTCCAAATTTCTTTGATAACTTTATGGTGATTCTTAGCAACTGAGAAGCTTAGAATCTCATCACCAGGTGGCATTATTCTTCTTCTAAAGGTTTATCCATGAAATGCATCAATATAGATTTTATATGAATTCCTTAAAAGCACCTATTTTAATAAGATGCATCCTACTTCAACTAATGATAGCAGAAATACCTCAGGCAAGAAAGCTCACCAAATGTCCTTTAATACAGAAAGGCAAAATGCTCAGCCTGTACACTATTCAAGGTGAAGTGAAGTCAATTCAATCAAGGTTCCTTTGAGGAGAAAATGTATTCATAGCTTTTCTTAATTCTAAAAATGTTACTTTTTTTGATTTAACTAAAGGAAGTAAGATTATACCTGGTTACGCTGAACCTGAGACTGACTTCCCCAAAACTGGCTTGCTTCTTTTTTCATTTTTTAAAATTTATTTAAATTTGACTAGCCAACATATAGTACATCGTTAGTTTCAGATGGAGTGTTCAATGATTCATCAGGTGCGTGTAACACACCCGTGCTCATCACATCACATGCCCTCCTTAATGCCCATCACCCAGTTACCCCATCCCCCCACCCCCTCTGCAACCCTCAGTTGCTTCTGACAAACCCTAAACTACATTTGAACAAGGACCAAAAGACCATAAAGAAAAAAACTAGTGTTATCTGAAAAATACAAACTTTCAGTAATAATGTAACAGTACATTTTGAATGGCATAATCTTGCCATTCCCCACAATTTTCTCTTTATCTCAACTCAGCCAAGTCATTAGGTACTTATTTGACTAGAATTCTAAAGAAAAAATCATAGGCCTTGAATTCATTTTACATATGACTGTAGACTGGATGCCTGTGAATGACTTCAGTTTGTTGTGGCTTTAAGAGAAAGGAGGGAAGAAAGACTAAAACACGAAGTCCCGCCTACACTCAGCAAGTAGACCAGCGGGTGTGCAGGAGGGTGGGAGACAAAGCAGTGCAGCCACCGTAAACCCTCGTGACCGGTTATCTTGATGCAAGGGGCAGACAGGGAAGGTGGGAGATGTCACTACAAGGCCCCAACTCAAGTTCTGGAATTCTCAAATTACCTTCATGGGGTTTTTTTTGCCACAACCATACACTACCTGCACTATTATACACCTAATGTTTTAAAACTGATTCATTTAACTTAAATAAAATTTTAAAAGGAAAATTTTATCAAGATCATAAATGAGGGCACCTGGGTGGCTGAGTTGGTTAAGCGACTGCCTTCGGCTCAGGTCATGATCCTGGAGTCCCGGGATCGAGTCCCGCATCGGGCTCCCTGCTCGTCAGGGAGTCTGCTTCTCCCTCTGATCCTCCATCTCATGCTCTCTCTCTCTGTCTCATTCTCTCTCTCAAATAAATAAATAAAATCTTTAAAAAAAAAAAAAGATCATAAATGAAAATCAGGATCACTAACCTTACAGAGGCAACCGCAAAAAGAAATAACAATGTATTCAAGGTCAGGTAACGGAGGACTGACCAGATATATTTTCTGCAAAAGACTAAATTTGATACCTGTTTTTTTTTTTTTAAAGATTTTATTTATTTATTTGAGAGAGAGCAAGAAAGAGAAAGCACAAGGAGGGGTGAGGGGCAGAGGGAGAGGGAGAAGCGGGCTCCCTGCTTATGCCCAGGAGCTAAAGGCAGACGTTTAACCAACTGAGCCACCCAGGCGCCCCCCTGTTCTTTCTTTTTCTAAGGGGAGATGAGTATACGCTGGAAATGTTTTAAAGATATATTTGTAATGGAGACTTTATCTTCGATGGAATCAGAAGGATTGAGAGAGAATTTTAAAGAAAGTACCTTTATAGTTTTATAAATCAATTTTTATTTTTATTTTATTTTTTAAGTAATCTCCACACCAGCATGGGGCTTGAACTTATAACCCCAGAGATCAAGAGTCGCACACTCTACTGACTGAGCCAGCCAGGTACCCCTGTAACTCAATTTTCAACATTATGTCCATTTATCCAACAAAAACCATGATGCATTATCACCAGAGGTATGTATTTGTACTTGAGAATTATTGGCATAACTCAAATCAAACAGTCTGAGTACACATATTTTAAATTTTGTATTTAAAAAAAATTACAGGGGTACCTGGGCGGCTCCGTCTGTTGAAGGGCCATCTGACTCTTGATTTCAGCTCAGGTCATGATCTCAGGGTCATGGGACTGAAACCTGTGTCAGGTTCTGCACTCAGTATGGAGTCTGCTGCAGATTCTCTCTCTCCCTTCTCCCTCTGCCCCTTCCCCCTGCATGCTCGCTCACTCTCTCAAATAAATAAATCTTTAAAAAAAAATTAAAAGTAAAAAAAATTCAGTTACATATTGTTTTACTCTTCTCCTTATATAAGTAAGCAAGATACAGACCTACATGAGGAACAATAATTCGCAATAAGGGCCACTATGAAAACAGACCAGCTTGGACTCTAGAGCTCACCTCCTTGGAGTCTGTTTTGGGACAACCGGGGTGGAGTTATAAAGAAACCCTTTCCAAAGTGAACAAGCCTCCTATCACTTTTCACAGATCTCAGCACAATCAGGAAAGACCAAGGACAAAGCCCTTGTTGCCAACACCCACTGAGAAGAGCAGCAGAAGTTATACCTGTAGCGTGGGCTGCTCCAATCATCCTTCCTCGAATCAATCCCTCACGCTTTGGGTTTCTTATTACTTTAATTTTTCCAGGGAGATATTTTTGGACATATTCCTCTAGTTCTCCTTTCAGATCATCTGAAAATAAAGAGTCCCATAATAAAACCACAAGAGACATATACAAAGACTTTTTTTTATAGCTACTCTAAGATTGTATCTGGTGCTTAAATTATCAAATATAGAATCTTCTGCTGCTTTATTTAAAAAAAATATTATAACTTATCTTGTAAGGAAGAAAAAGTAAAGAAATGAAGGGTTAAAGAGTTGAAACACTAGCCAAGAAGAATACTTACCTTGAGTGACTGAATGTTCAGCTGACTGCATTCAATCAGATTTAAAACCAAAAAAATGAGGTGTGTCTTTTGTTTCAAAGTAATTTACTGTTACTCCATTTCAGAATAGTTGTAACAACTTCTATTGCCCCTACCAAGAATTATATAATAACAGCAGTAAATATGTCCTTTTATTAATTTAGTACCTTCCAAGGGCACTAAATATTTTTTAAAAATTCTAGCTCATTTACCTTTAAATTTCATAACTTCGAAGAGCATATAAGTAATTCTTTCCACTGTTAGTAGATAAACCATTCTAAGTTATCATGAGTTTTCACTTTGAAAAATAGCTATAAACTGAAAAACAAAATACAGATTAAAAAAAATTCACCACCGTAAATTCTATAATTTAGTACTTAGCCAGTCTTCTATTTGATGCAGACTCACAATCTTGGCTTTTTAATTATTCATTTTTGAAATTAAGTTTTGTTTTCTATTAACCTTTCTAAATTTCTCTTGTGCTGTTTCAATATTTGCAAGGTGTAAGCATTTTGTTCCCATTGGGCTCAGTGTACATTTCCTTGCTTTATATATTCAACTGGTAGACCAATTCCGTTGTTGATAAGAGTTGCTAATAAGCTCTTGAGTAATGAAAAATCTGTAACTGGCATACAATTTATCATGCATACAATTTATTAATGTACTTCTGCAGCTTGCTGTAATGAAAAGAGCAGAAGGCTTAGACCTATGTGGCCCAGGGGTCTAATTTCAGCTCTACCACTTAACAGCTATGGGACCTCAAGCAAATTACTTAGTATTTCCTCCTCTATGAAATGAGGATACAACCTATCTCTTAAGGTAGCTTAGAGCCAAATGAGTAGCATAAAGAGTCTTCTGTGTGTACATGAAACCATTCTTAAGAAGTCTATGTTGAACTGAAGAAAGGTATATAAAATACAAATTTCCAGTTACAAAATAAGTCACAGAGATGAAAAATACAGCAGAGGGAATATAGTCAATGTTGTAGTAACACTGTAATGGTGACAGATGATGACTACACTTATTGTGGCGAGCACTAAGTAATGTACAGAACTGTTGAATCAATATGTTGTACAACTAAAACAAATATAAAACAGTGTGTCAATTACATATCAATACATTTTTGAAAGTGTATAAATACTGAATCATAAAACACTGGCATTCAGAGATCATCTAAGAGCTATCACAATGCAATCCATTTTTATCTGGGGATAGTCAGTATAACAGACTCATTAGATAAATATAAGCCCAAGGCATTACACCAAGAGAAAAAAGCCAATGTTGAAAGGTCACATATTGTATGATTCCATTTATGCAACCATTCTTAAAATGACAAAATCAGAGAAAGAAATAAAATCACAGAGATTGAGGCTGTCAGAGATTAGGGATGGAGTGGGTCAGGGAGGTGGATGTGAGTATTAGAAGGTAGCGCGAGGGGGATTTTCGCGGTCATGGAGTAGTCTTTATTGTGATCACAATGGTGGTTACAGGAACGTACACACAGGATAAATTGACACAGAACTGTACACACACACTGTACCGACATCAATTCCTGGTTTTGATGTTGCACTGTAACCACATTAACTATACCAATGGGGGAAACTAGGTGAAGGGGTAACAGGACCTCTTTGTAACCCACTGTTACTAATCTACAGTTATTTTGAAATAAACATTTTTTAAGAATGTAAGCCAAGGGAAAAATTTCAAGGGCCAAACTTAAAATAGCACAGTCTGTAAAAAGATCACAAAGCTAATGCTGTTTCCTCAAAATTATCCTCTAATCAACAAACAGATACTTACTTGTTGCTAACTCTACTGCAACTGTGTGGACCAGGGTCCTACCCCCGTCTGAACTGTCAGCTGATGCTAATCCTACCGTGATCAACAGCCCAGATCCCACAGTATCAGCTACAACATCCCTTACCGAAGTCACTGTCATCGTCCACAAGGATGATTTCATGAAGGAGCTGGGCTGGTGTGCGGTCTAGGACGCTGTGCACAGTACGGAGCAAGGCAGACAAGGCTTCGTTGTAGAAACAGATAACAACACTAGCGACTGGCAGGTCCACAGGGTAAGACTTGTCTTTACATCTGTAAAGACACATATGAGAAAATGTGACATCTTAAAAGGCTCAAATGTTTTAGGTCATTATTCACTAAATATTAACTGCCTCCTGCTCAGCCTCTTTCCTACATTATAACAAAAGTTTCTTAAAAAGCACTTAAGAATACATTGTGGTGTCACACTCAACAGTTTTACAGTTTGTTAATAACTTCTCTCTCCAATACCTGCTACTCTGCTTATTTTTAGATTAACATTTAAAAAATGATTTTTTTTTCTTTTTTTGGTACAGAGGTTATATAAAAATGTGTTATTTGTATGAAATCACTACAAGTTTTTAATGCAGTATTCATAAGTTAATGTAATGTTCGCTTCTCCACAACGAACATTCAAAAGGAAACAGAAATATAAAACTTTGTAGTTGAAAATTTTATTTCTTACCCAGTAATAGAAAAAGATTTGAGTAAACTAGTATATAAATCAAGATCATGGGGGCGCCTGGGTGGCTCAGTCGGTTAAGCGTCTGCCTTCAGCTCAGGTCATGATCGCAGGGTCCTGGGATCGAGCCCCGCATCGGGCTCCCTGCTCAGCGGAGAGCCTGCTTCTCCCTCTGCCTCTGCCTCTCTGCCCGCTTGTGCTCTCTCTATCTCAAATAAATATCTTTAAAAATGACAAAAAGGGTTAGGTGGCTTCAAGCAACAATAATAAAAAATCACTAACTTAAAGAACAAAATCCAGAATTCCATGTTCTTTTGCATGGCATACAAAGCATTCCAACATCTGGGCCCTGGCTACCTCCAGTCTCCTGACATTCTTCCACTATGGCCGTACTGAACAGTTCCAGGGCTTTTCCGAGTACTGTAATGCCTCAATCTGTTCGCACAGGAGCAGTCCCCTGCGCGTTGCTCAGCCAGCACCCTCTAGGAGGCCTTCCCTTACATCTGGTCTCCGGTTCCCCACTTCATCACCAGTTCCTACCATAGCCCTCATTCTTGTACTACTGCAATTACCCATTCCCTTATCTACCTCTCCTGCTAGACCCTAAGCCCCGTGATCCCAGGGACTAGGTCTTCCTCTACTTACTTCCAAGACCTAATACAGTGTCTAGAAAACAAAGATGCTTAAAAAGGTCTGTGGAATGACTGACTGACCAACCATATGAATGAAAGCCTTTGAAACAACAAAAATGACAAAGACAAAAAAGTGAGATGAGTGAAATTCTTCAATGATTTTTAATTCCTTTGCCAAAAATACAATAAACATTTCAAATTTATGCTCAGAAGGTTATCTAATTATATGCAGTTAGTACCTCTTGCCTTTCCCCTCTGATTTAAATTTCAAGAGAGACAGTAAGCTCTAGAACTCTGTTAGTACAATCTCAGGCTTCAGGTGTCATAGAGTGGAAATCTGTCTTAAGTTTTCCAGTATCCTGAATAATGAAGCCTAAATGCACTGATTAGCACCATCCTCACGACTTACTATAATGCCACTAAAAGCAGTCATTAAAACGCAGCAGCATCAACTAATGAGAAACGTACGCAGCATTCCTGGTGTCTGGCACGTCCCGGTGGTAGCCCAAGCGGTTACTGATAAGCATGTTGAAGGCATGTTTCTGATAGCCTAAGTCTCTCAACTCCTGATCACGTTCATTAAAAATCATACCTGCAAAAGATTGAAGTTACAGTCAGTATGTTAAATCTGGAAAGGATTGCTGCAGTTATTGTTATATTATGATCCTAAGAAAATCCTGACTTTAACCCTTCGTAATCAAATAGCCATGTTTCTCAAATCTAACTTGTCTCCATTTTCAAAAAAGTAAATTGAAGTTAGAGTCAAATTTTTGTCAGTCTAGCTCAAAAAGCAGGTATACCTTAATCATAAATACCTGCTCACTAGCCATAATCTTAAGAATATTTTCAAGAAAAAAACTTACATATGGACAGAAATAAAAGAATGATTATTTTTCCATAAAAGCAATAGATTATAGAACCCATATGGGCAACAGGTCCCAATGACAGGCAAGTTTTGTTTTGTTTTGTTTTAAGACTTTTTATTTATTTATTTGACAGAGACAGTGAGAGGGGAACACAAACAAGGGGAGTGGAAAAGGGAGAAGCAGGCTTCCCGAGGAGCAGGGAGCCCGATGCAGGGCTCAATCCCAGACTCCGGGATCATGACCTGAGCGGAAGGCAAACGCCCAATGACTGAGCCACCCAGGCACCCCGACAGCCAAGTTTTTATAGGAGCCCTGCCCCTAAAATAGAGATTATTGATAAGCCTTTCTACAAAGTCTCTGATTCCAGACTTTAATCAGCTTCATAGTCAAGAAAGGCAAGAAATTCCCTGGGGAGATCCCATCAAAATCACTACAATTTAACATTCCTGCTCTAACATTCAGAAACTTTACCTTTACATAGAAGGATAATGTCTCTTTTCATTCTCTTTCCCATATCAAACCTTTAACCTCTCCTCACAGGATGACTCCCTTGTCCCAGCATTTCCCAAAGTCTGGTCACAGAAATCTAATCTAACCACTGGACATTAACAGATGTTAAAAAGAAAAAAAGGATTTCATGGTCAAACAATCCAGAGAAACAATGGATTTTGAAAGTCCAATAGGTTTTGTTTTGTTTTATTTGGAATGGAAGGATAGTCCTGATCCTTTAATGATGTTGACTGTTTTACAGATACCCAGGTGTGAGGGGATGGGATACAGAATGCATTGCTTCCACAATTTATCTGACCACAGATGACTAGAGTCCCCAGATCCACTTTGGGAAACACTACCTCTTAATATGCTTTTTTCTATGAGCTTTTAAAGCTGGAATACATTTTTTTTTTTTACAGAATATTTTCATTACTGATAGAACTCTAGAAACTTCATTTTAAAGCAGTATTTAGTGTCCTTGCATACTCTGTTCTTATTGGCTGTATAATAATGAAAACAAAATTCCATGTTTTGCTTCCATTTTACAGTGTTTTTCATGTATTAAGATACCCCTAAACAGGGATTCTCAATCACCTGATTACTTTCAGTCTTTGTCAATAACTGACAGAATTGTGCTGACATTTTAACTGTTACTAGTTAACTTTTCATGGTTTTAGACTGTAATATAGACTTTTACTTTTTTTTTTTAAGATTTTATTTATTTGACAGAGAGAGAGAGCACAAGTAGGCAGACAGGCAGGCAGAGGGAGAGGGAGAAGCAGGCTCCCTGCTGAGCATGGAGCCCGATGTGGGGCTTGATCCCAGGACCCTAGGATCATGACCTGAGCCAAAGGCAGACGCTTAACAACTGGGCCACCCAGGCACCCCTGTACTATGGACTTTTAAGAGGAAATTCTAGTACAGTTAACATACAGTGTTGTATTAGTTTCACGTGTATAAACCTTACTCAGTTCTCATCATAATAAATGTACTCTTAATCCCCTGCACCTATTTCACGCAGCCCCACCCACCTCCTCTCTGACAACCACCAGTTTTTTCTCATTAAGAGTCTGTTTCTTGGTTTGTCTTTTTGTTTCTTAAATTCCACACAAGTGAAATCATATGATATTTGTCTTTCTCTGACTTATTTCACTTAGCATTATACCCTCTAGATCCGTGTTGTTGCAAATGACAAGATTTTATTCTTTTTTATGGCTGAGTAATACTCCATTGTGTATATATACACCACATCTTCTTTATCTACTCATCTATCAATGAATACTTGGGTTGCTTCTATAATTCGGCTAAATAATGCTGCAATAACATATGGGTAACATGTAACCTTTCAATTTAGTGTTTTTGTATTCTTTGGGTATACACCAACAAGTGGAATTACTGGATCATATGGTAATTCTACTTTTAGTTTTTTGAGGAACTTCCATACTGTTTTCCAAAGGTGGCTGCACCAGTTTGTATTCTCACCAACAGTGCATGAGGGTCCTTTTTCTCCACATCCTCACCAACACTGTTTCTTGTGGTTTTGATTTTAGCCTTCCTGACAGGTGTGGAGTGGTAGATCATTGTGGTTTTGATTTGCATTTCCCTGATGATGAGTGGTGTTGAACATCTTTTCATGTGTCTGTTGGCCATCTGGATGTCTTCTTTGGAGAAATGTCTGTTTATACCTTCTGCCCATTTTTAAATTGGATTTGGGGTTTTTTGGTGTGGAGTACATCCTTTTTTAAATACAAAAGAACGAAGCTCCATTAACATTTTATAAGAGGATGCAAACTCCATGAGAGCAGAGACTTTGATCATGTTCAAAACATAAAATAAAAATTGCTTGATACCCAGCACCTAGGACAGTGCCTTGCATAAACTAAATTCTCAATAAATATTCCTTGATTCAATAAATCAAAGAACTAGCTCATACCGGATACTGAAAGGATTATTTTCTAATATATATCTTTTGATGAAAAATTATTCCAGGGGCGCCTGGGTGGCTCAGTTGGTTAAGTGACTGCCTTCAGCTCAGGTCATGGTCTCAGGGTCCCTCTCTGCTTGTGTTCCCTCTCTCGCTGTCTCTCTCTCTCTGTCAAATAAATAAAATCAAAAAAAAAAATAATTAGTGAGTTCTGCCATTTTTCAGACAGAAAA